GTCACATCTACCGAACAATTGCTTTTGGGCCAGTGAAGGGAACAGAACGCTCCGTGCTGACATTGATCTGATGTTTCTCCACTTCCCTTACCCGTCACATATTAGAAGTAGCGAATTTGAATGTTCTCCGATATCATCCTCCCGTTGATCCAGTCGTTGACTAACGGACCGGATCGGATGAAGAACACACGGTGGCATAGGCTGCAGCACTAGTGTATGGTGTTGACTAACTACACTTTATCGGTCCATGTCCTTTGCATAGCCTGCACTTTTGTGCAGCACGCAATCATTCCTGATGCAGCTGCTCAACGGCATTCTTTAGGCCAAGTCAAGTCAAGGTGGCGCTTTTAAGCACCTGCGACTGGCGAAAATCCAGCAGTGACACACATGTTTTGATATGATAAGAAAATCCTTTCAAAAGCAACAGAACAACAGTAAAAAGAGAAGCTTAATAAAAGAAATAGCCTCACTGGAAAAATTTACCGGCCAGTTATTTATTAATATCTTTTCGGTCAGATAGAAATCTGGCTAAATAGGGAATGACCGACCAACCATAAGCACTCGTGCGGTCGTATATTGCTTTGTACTTTTATCTGGTCAGCAAGGTAGATATACAGTTGGAGGGTGCACTTTGGACAGGGTGGCTAATGTCAGTATTTTGGAAGCAAGTTTCGTGCGTAAATTGACGTACGTAGATACAATTGTCTGAGTAAGGGTTGACTTTGGAATGCAACTGTACTGAGACAAGCGCGTCAAGCAACTTAAAATGCTTACACAACATGCCTAAAAATTACAAGTGAGCAACAAGTCTAGCGTTGTAAAATACATGCAGTGACGAATTTCAGAATCAAATTGTGTTAAGTATCGAGAAGCGTAAGTAAAAGTTATGGAAGTGCCACCACGATTTCGGTAAGTGCATAGTCGTCCAGCAAGAAAACTAATACAACGGTTACTTGCAACAGTTGCGTCTTTAATAAATGAATGGAGCAATGTCTCTTGCGGCATAATGACTTATAGTTGTACGTATTTACAACAGTTAATAATGCTTTTAAAGTTTTTTTCCCTGGAGCGAGCGGACATTGACGGTTAGAAAAGTCGGTATGCTCTTAATTGTCAAGTTATTTTCCTGATAGCGACTTTGCACCCTTCACGACGCTTTCTTATAGAGTTATTCCGCTTTTGTTGATTCTTCCCACTTTATTCGTGATAGATGGATGATCATTGTTAGTTTGCACAGAAACGCATAACGGTTTCAGAACATGGTGGGTGTTGGTTCTCATGATTTTGATTGTGTAAAAATAGTATCGCCGAAGGCATGTGTTAGTAATTTATTGAAAGAGGAGAAACGTCGAGCGTTGGTAATTTTGAAGGCCATGCGATAGACGGTCACATAAATGAAGGTCACTTTCTTCCATTTGTTCCTAACACGACGGTATATATATATATATATATATATATATATATATATATATATATATATATATATATCCAAGCATGACATGACAACAGGAAACTTGGACCACCAGAAGTACGGTTAAGACCATTGCTTCAATTAGTACAGACTTCAGATACGGATGAGCCAGCCTTAGTTGTACCTATCACAAATCAGCCAACCATGCAGACAACCGTTTCAAAATAGTTCAGCAGACCGGCACTATTTGTGCCTAATGTGTCAACGAATGCAATACTGCTACACCAAAACTCAAGCGTTGTATTCTAAGCTCTCGACGTGAAACAACAACTTGGGACCTCATAGTAGTTACTGAAACTTGACTCTCAAACGACTTGATCCGGAGATTAAACTCAGTGAGATGTCAGTCATTCGAAATGACTGTCCATCTCGCGGTGGCAGCGTTGCTCACTACTATCGAAATTATTTGAAATGTGAGGCTCTTACTGAAAATTCTCTTATTATTCCCGAAACACTATTTGGCCGGCTGCACCCCGCAGATCGAGATGTTGGTACACAGAAGACGAGCGATGCTTACATCTTTGCAGTTATCTATAGACCTCCGAACTCACCAGCAGACAGCAATAACATTCTACTAAACGCCCTGCGCTATGCTATTTCACAAAAGTACTCTCACTATCCTATGATGGGCGGCTTTACTGTTCCTTCAATAGTATCAATGTCCCCTACTGGGTCACCATTTAAATCCAAACTCCTCGAATTTATGGATGTGGCAGTTTTGGATAACAATGTGCATCGACCAAGCAGTATCGCGGTTCAAACAAGTCATCACTCCTGGACTTAATCCCGACTAATGTAGAGTTGATGGTTGCATCAGTAGCATACGATCTTCCACTGGGCCGTAGAGACCATTCAGTCCTAACATTTGGTTATGCCATTATTGTTGCCAAAGAAAGAGCGACTCAGCGAACTATTACGGACTATTTTAAACTGCACAACTTCGCAGCAACCGTTGACTGGGACTTGCAGACGCACAGTTCAGCGAATGACGCGTGGAATGAAGTGAAAACAAAATTAACTGGGTCATACAATCAGCATGGAAGGTTGTACCATTAGGAGTATTGCGCCGGACCAACACGTGGATTCGAAGCAGTACACGGAAAAGGATTAACAGAAGAGATGAAATCTAGTGGCAACATTCGCTAAGCCCATGTGACATCACATGGCAGAATTACAAAGTCATCAGAAACGACCGCACGTCGCTCATTAGGGTCTAAAATTACGAATGGCAGGAGAACATGGTGCTTAATTTTACGAGTAACACCAAACTACTATACAGATTGTGAATGGAAAAGGAAGACGGCTAGTTGCCTAAAAACTACTGCTGTGGATGCTGCGAAGGCTCTACTCTTGCAGTTTGGCTCGGTAGCTACAAATGTCATGAAAGCTTAGCCCTAACAACTCCCAACAAATGCGTTGGCTTATCCAGCATCACCTTTACTCCAGCAGCTGTTGCATGCAAAGTACAGTCTCTCCGGGAGTAGAGTGCCCCTGGAATCGACATGATCTGCCCAAAAGTACTAAAAACCCTTGCTTCCACCATAGAAACACCAATTGCAATCTTTTTCCAGGGTCGGCTTAACTCCCATACACTCCCATCTGAGTGGAAAAATGGAATTATCGCTCCAATATACAAAGGAGGTAAGCGATCGTATCTTGCCAACTACCGACCTATTACACTCCTTCCTGTTTTATCAAAAGTGATGGAATCGGTAATCGCAGATGAACTGACGTGATACTTTGAAAGTCAGGAAATAATTGCTAATGTCCAACATGGTTTCAGACGCAGACGATCTTGTCTCACCAACTTGCTGATTACTCGGGACTCCTGGACCAGGGCTGCTGAAGAAGGAGTTCCCATAGACGTGATTTACTTGGATTTTTCTAAAGCATTCGACAGGGTCAATCAAATCTTTCTCCTCCAAAATTTTGTTGCCTACAGTATGAACGGTTCCCTGCTCACCTGGTTAGAAGACTACTTACACGACAGAGCAATCAAGGTAAGAGCAGCCGACACTCACTCTGCAAGCCTGTGCGTCTCCAGTAGTTTATCAGAAGGATCCGTCCTCGGCCCGCTACTGTTTTTAGTATGCATTAATGACCTTTCAGCGGACATTCTATCTCCAATGCAAATATTTGCAGACGATGCTAGAATATGGAAAGCAATTCGCTCAGCATCCGACCGTATATACCTCCAGGAAGATCTGACCCGGATTAAAGAATGGGTAGAGAGGATCCAGCTCCCACTGAAACCTGCAAAGTGCCACCTGCTGACGGTGCGCAGCAGCTTCGTCAACACAACTTTTGGGGCAACACCTCACGCAACACGTGACTAGTGAAAGCGACTTAAGTATACTCTTGCAAGTAAGTCTTAGAATTTCGCTCCAATGTTCGAAAGTAGCGTGTGGCGAACTTGAACTTGAGGCTTTTGAGGCGAGCTCTCGGCACCTTTGAGCGACGGTTAGTACCAATGCTGATTAACTCCTATATTCACCCTGACGTTGAATATTCAATTCAGGCCTTGTGTCCATGATTAAAATGAGACAATCGCCTATTGGAACAACCCCAAAGACGAGCCACAAAGGCAATACTTGGATTATCCGGTCTACGTTACGAGCTGCATTTTCATGTACTCGGTGTGTTCTCATTAGAATACCGACTGCTTCGCGGAGATCTTTCACAAACCGGATATTAACTGAAAGCGAGCATCCATGTACATCACTGGTGACTCTAGGCCCTTAAAACAAAGTCGAGGCAACCATCGGAAACTAATGATGTCGCGCTCCCGTCTGAATTGTAGAGAGTAGTGTTACTCACTTAGAATCAGTGCTCACTGGAATGCATTACCAAGATATGTGGTGAACGCACCAGATATGACGACATTCGAAAGACTCTTAGACTTTCATCGTAGTGCAAAATGCTGCACAACAGTTTGATAAAGTACAATGGCTTAACCACTGATACCTCACGTTCCACGTTGGAACATTTTAATCTTAATTTCCTTTTGCCTATCCATCCTCTGGGTCTTGTAAAGTTACGCTTTTTATCCCACCATGCACTATTAGACGATATATATATATATATATATATATATATATATATATATATTGTATATATTTATTGAGCATCATGAAATTATTGTGCACAAACAGATAAGTGTTAGTTGAAGTGTTTAACAAAGTGGACTATAATTAACTCTCCGATAGCCTTGTATGGTACAGGAAAAAAGACTTAAAAGTAGGGCTTTCTTTTGCATGTCCTACGCAACTGAAGTAGTTTATTTAGACCTACTTAGCTGAATAGCATCTTATACTTTTCTTTGGGAATACTAGTAATGACTGAGAAATCATTAGATGGTCATGATTATTGACAATGTGAAAGATAATTATATGCTACCACCCGGTACCCATACACTTCGTGTGAATGTCTGCTGAGTTTCCCTAAGCTGTAGCACTAAGACATGTTTGTTTAGGTTTCTGTGGTACACTTCAGTAGAACCAACGCATGTTTTTTCTGTTTTTTTCTGCAGGCAAACATTAGGTCTCTTGTGCATCCCCATGATTTAAGCCAATCAACTCGCTGGGCTACTGGACAATACACGCTACCAGGAATGGCACCAACCGAAAGCAAGATTGCGGTGACCCGAAGTCACAGCATGAAACCCAGTTCAGCACCTCGTGGAACGAACTCCGAAAGTCCGCAGCCCTCATTTCCTTTCCCTATCAACCTGGCCGATTTGACAAGGAAAACTCTGGATGGCAAAGTCAAATGGCGTAAACCTGATCCGCAACCCACTAGTTCACCAGTTCAGCATGCTTTGGACGAACCACATTTGGAGCCTCCTGGCTTGAAATTGGCTTCACTGACAGAATATAGATATGTGCCAACAACAAGTAGACCAGTTGGGGATCATATGGTGAAGTCTGGAGCATCAAACAGTTATTCGTCAAATGCTAATAAAGTTTGTTTTCAACAACGGAACGACCTTTGGTCCCCCGACACTGAGTTGAAGTTATTACCCAAGGAACCAGAACAGTATCACATATATGACCGAAAGAATGGCGCAATTCATCCCAGACTAGTGCATTCATCCGGTTCATCCGGAAAGGTAATTGTTCAAGCACATGTGCTATCATATCCATTCGAAGGAAAAATGTGGAATCGGTTGTTGGATCTATCCGGATTAGTGAATGCTGGTCACAAGTGCACTTCCACCATTCTTAGTAACACTGAAGGTATAAACTGTACTTTACACTTATATTCCACCTACAGATGCGGTGCCTGAGCATAGCGATGCACGATCAATTAACCCTTTCGCGCATAGTGGTCACCGTAGTGGACGGTTACCATTGGCTCGTTCCACAACTACACAGTCTGCAGTCCACTGCAGACATTACCTTGTATGTTGTATCGGATAATACGGAATTTTATTTCAAGTGCATTCTTACACCCCAAAACGATTAAAACTCGTGAAAATAATCTTGTATCATCACTCCAAAAATTTATGCGCGAAACGGTTACTAATGCCAATGGGCTGTAATTTCCTAGCAACAACGGCCTCAAATAAGGAACTAACTAAAGGCAGTCAGCAATACGTCATGTGTAGCCCTTTTAGCATGGAAACTTAGCAGAAAAGTCTGTGTGAACTTAAATTAGTATTGTTATCCCAACCAGAAACTGAGAGAGAGCAGACTTGTTAGGTTGCTCCAGGTCAAACAAACTAGTATTAAGATCCATTGATATCCATTACCAACACAACAGCGGGTGGGTGAAATTTATGAAGACAAGTGCAAACAGGAAAAGTACACTACCTTCCAGTAGCAGGTGGAGAACATATCCTTTAGGGTGTGAAGCGATAATGAGTGCGCTTGTTGGTCGACGGTGAACGGAGTTTCTTCAACATACTTAGAGCGAATATTATTACGTGTCGACAATGACCGTAAGGATTAAAGGAGTACTTTTCCTTAACAAGGTCAGACGGTTTGAATGAGTGCGGTTCGCAAGTACCTTGGAGTGAATTGACGCAAAACGAGGGCTGGATCCAATCATATGGAAAGCATTGAAATTGTGAAGATTAGCACGGCAAATGGTAACTCAATCTACACTATACGGTAAACAACAATGAAACCGAGCGTCAGGTTGTCATAGCTATTTCCTGGTAAGCAAAAATGTTCGCTTATTTTCATATTTGCTTCGGCTGTTTAAACCCCTTTAGAGATCAGAGCAGAAAACAATAAGAATGGTCACGTGCGCAGTGAACTGCATCCGGTGGCATTCGTCTGATAGTTTTGTACAAGTGGTAGTATGGCAATTCTGAAAATAAGGTAATTTTTGATCAGTATCACGTAGAACACCGATTGGTTGTAAACGGTTATTGTTGTCTAACCCTTTTGTATTTTCTCGTTCACTTGATGTGTAAGAATCGGTCACTAAACCCCGGCGGATGTCGTCAACATAATAATCCAGGTAGATATAATTCGAAAACTGCTGCTGATGGGTAAATATCGATTTGAATATTTGTACACCGCAAGGTGGGCTATTAGACAAACCGCGTGACCTCATTTGATTTGAATGTGCATATCAGTAAAGCCGAACCGTTTTTCCGCACATCAGGTCACTACTAACGTGCAATTTCACCTCAACGAGAGGTGATGTTAGTATTCACATTTCCTGAACGAAAGCAGTAGGGTACAAGGAAGCCTGTATTTGGTATTGGAATATTGACTGATGTTGTGCAGCTACAGTGCAGTGTTAAGGTCGAAAAGAGTATGAATTAGCCAGTGCAATGACATTGTTGAAAAACAGTTGCATATTTGACACGTCACTTTGTGGGCAACCACGTAGAAGCTGTACGTCTGGAGTTGTCCTGCTTTTTAGACAATCCTTCGGGTGTATCAGCCGGATCGGACAATCAAAGCCGTGTCAATTGAACCGCACACAACAGCATTCAGCATCCTCAGAGTGTTACTAGAAAAGAACCTGCTGCGGTGCACTACGAAGTATGCTTTGGTGGAAAAAATTCCGTCCCTGAAGTTAGGTGAGCAAAATGTGACTTGTACTTGTTGTTGAATTATACAATATCGCGCCAGGCTGGCAGCACGGTAGGGACCAATCCACAACAAAGAGATTATAAACTTGACTTTAGAACTACAATCATTTCAGGGATACAAAGTTTTTTGATAGTCGTTGAAACCTTGTACACGGGTTCATGTCTTTGAAGCAACTTGTGTGTACTGGATAATAGCTTTGTTATTGGTGCCACTACGGTCCATCTCGTCCTGTTATCTTACTGCCTATCTGGCACTGCGCACAAATTGTACCGACTTATTTTTCGAGAACCCACCATGGTATAAAAAGGCAAAAATCGCTAGCGTTGGCAACGCAGCTTCGGCACTGTATTCTGTGAGTTTCCACATGGGTCGCAAACTAAATAACTTGTCAGGACTTTGTAGGAATCGCAAGACTATCGGACAGTAAGAAGTAGGTGAACACTAAGAAATTCCAAATATCCGGTCCCAATTTTGTTAGAAACCCTTTCAAGCACACTGGGTTTAGGGCTGATGTCTATTTGTGGTGGACAAATATCCAGTGTTATCTATGCTAATGAACTAATTCACCGACAGGTGTAAAGCTACGGTCTTTAGAGAGTCAGATATTTAATGAACCTCTCATATATTCTACGGAGTTAACTGACTGCGCGAAAACACACACAAAGCACATAATACAACTTAAATCAGCCTCTACCTTGCGTTATAGAGCGCTGTTTTGAGGACAGTGAACTCATGATGGACTGCTTAATACATTGGAATGTGAGGAGCGAAAACTTAGTCTTTTTCGAGGAGCGTGAAGATATGTATGGAATGTTCGAGAATCCTGCAGTGAGTTCATATTTGAACTTCATCAGTAAAGTATGCTACTATTCACCCTGTTTGCCAATAGGCATTGTAAGAACGACTCAAAAGACGAATTGTTTATATCCCTCGTTTGGCAAGGACAATCTTGCACATTACCAGAACCGACAAGTAATTAGTCTCATGCGAACATTATTGTAATTTAGACATTTTTATAAGGATGCTCCCTCATGGTGATTCCACGGATGTCATATCCAGTGGCAACTCTTTCGAGAACCTTTATTTACTGGCAAAATGCCTTAAAATGCACCCGTATTAACTCTTTTAGCTTACTTTGGCTACTCAAGGGATAACTATCTCCTCAGTCTTAAGTAGAAAATAACAACATGCCACTGTTTGTTAATGCGCTCCAATACGAACGCATGAATGAATAATATTGGGCTCAATGGGACCAGAAAGTATCGCTACTCGCCCAGAACACCTATGAGCACACACGCTTGAGTTGACTGAACAAGGAAAAAGTGGTATATACCAGGAAAACATGCGAAGGTCTTGCAGATTACGATGAATTATGAAGTTGGACATCGAGTCAGAACAAACAAAAGCGGTGCGTGTTGTGATTGTACTTGCATATTTTCTGCGAGAACGATAAGCAATCTATCTCATTCCTATTGATTCTACTGCATCCGCGTTGTTTACCAGCAAATAAAACAGAACAAATGCAGCTAGTAGTGTACAGCTGACCACCAAACATGCTCAGTTAATAAATGCGTTATCCAAATGCTTATTTAAAATAGTGAACATGAGAAAACTGAAAAACCTCGCGGAACCCTCCAGGTCTTGCAGCACAGAAGGGAAAAGTACTAGCCACGATAAGCTAGACGGCTGAAATGCTGCGTTTGTTTCACGTGGTTACCTCTTACGGCGTTGCTGCTCATCAGCAAATCTCGACATAAGTGATTAGGAAAAGCACCGAAAGAAGGCGAAAGCTAGTAGATGCATGCATTTCGTCTTGTCTTCTCACTACCACTAAAAATAATCGATATGCATAGATATATCCCACAGTGGGTGCAACCAGATAAGCTTGAGGTGCAGAGCGAATGACGGAAGTTCACACCTACGTCCAAGGCAGCTTTGGGCTGTCAAACAGTTGTTTCTGAACCTATAAGGCTGGCTTCCACCGGCTTATAGCCACAGCCTCAACAAACCGAAGGAAGCGGGGATTAGTGTGACGTAACCCAACTGTAAGCTTTCAACCCAGCTCTGTTCAATTACCAGAGTCTAATAGGTGTTTGCCTATCGAGGAAGCTGGCGGTCTGCGTGAACACGGAATTGGACAAGCATAGGCAGTCTGAGAAACATCACGCGGAATCCATCTTGGTACGTCCTCCTTTATTCGGGAAGTTAGGGTTCTATTAGTTCTTCATATGTAACTGTTGTCGCAGTCACATACAAATTGGTATAATCTGTGTCAGTTCGCCCCAATAGGCTGCGCTTCCTTCATTGGAGGTACGGGCAAATTTCGAGTTTGGTTGCTAACAACTTGTACAGCATAGGAACTTATTTGTTTAGCCTAAATTCTACGCTTACTTGTCTTCAGCGCGATTTAATCACTTTTGAAAGGTAACTCGATATAAACTTTCTTCTTAACTACTGAGTGATTATGATCAACCTTTATCCCCTACACCAATACGTGGTATTCACACACCTGTCCATGAACCTATCAAATGCTCTGAAGACCTTCACTTTTTGTTAGTGTAGAAGATGGCTCAACCATCTAATCAAAGTTATTGTCCAATATGGTAAAGTTTTCTAGGGAGGAAAGGTCACACTTTTGTCAGTTACCAGTCTTCACACCAAATTGGGCGCCAGGCGCACGTAGAGGTCTAGCGTAATGAAATACATTTGAAAGCTAAAACACAAATGACTTTTTAGGAGACCAATGTGTTGCGTACTTCTTTTTCAGTCCAACTCATGCTGTCTGAGACAACTGAATTTGCAAAGCTGAGAATGCTCTACAATTCATTCCCTCTGCATCTGTAAATATATGTGACCCAGTTGGGCGTCCAGCCAAATTTACACCTACGCGTGGGACTAGTGTTCTTTTCTATGCAGTTCATTATACGACTTCTAATCGCAGGCTAGGTGGGTTCGTGCCCTACGTCGGCGGTAGAGTAACTGACTGCAAATAGCGTTCTCCACTGCCGATTTCTCATTGTTTATTTTCATCCTCCGTAACTCGCAGCTTAAGTGATGTCAGTTCAATTAACAACAAAACATTACTGGGCATCCAACGAGGGACAGAGCTCAATCCCTTTCTGCTTTGAATGCACCCATCATATCACACCGTTCCGTCTCACTGAGTTCAGGGTAATACACTATAAGGTCGGCCTGTGGCCGAGTTGTGTGCGCGCCTGGTATGCGACCGTAAGGTTACCTTATGAATCCTCGTAGTAGTGTGTCTCTTCGCGATACACTCAGCCCGCGCGACTGGTGGTGGTCGCGCGGTAGCGAAGCACCGTACTGGCGTACAGCTGACAAAATTTTTTTAAATATTCTAACTCAGCTAGATCAATGGGCCGCAATTGCACTCTCACTCGCTTGCACTTTGAGTTGGTGTATAGCACTTCTTCGAACGTAAAACTCAAGATTTTTACACAACATTTGAACTAAATGTCTCCAGTTCAGTTTCGATAATGCTTTACCAGCAACCGTAGACTTAACCTCAGTGAAGTATCGTCCTGAGTATTAGAGATGAATACTCCCCAGCTGAGTGGTATCCAGTTAAACTTCACATAGGGTCCACTTGTTTGGCATTGTTGACTATTTTAGTCCCCTTACACGATTCTGGTCAAGACGTTTTCGTTCTGCAACTTTTGCTCCAGTCTTGCTGTTGTCAAAGACGCGCTCCGCCACAAGCTTGTCATCCGACTATTTTGTGGGTCAGTTTCCCAATAGTCCTTGTAGTAAGTGGTTTGAGTACGTAAGTAATTTGTTCACTTTCTTCGGAGAGTCCGTTAGATGAATGAATTCCAAGATCCTAAACAACGTAGGCAATTATCGCAACGGTCCTCGGTTATTGCAAAGCAGCATCACCTTAACACGCCGTGGTTGCCAACGTGTCACTTGGCGTCGTCCACTAGAAGACAGCGCAGGATGTGCCGTGTGTATCACATATTCGCACTGGCCCATCTCAATCTTAGACTATACCCGTTTTGGATCAACTGCGTCCGTAACATCCATACTCTCGTACCATTCTGACTTCTATTGAACTTTGCATAGAATCGAAGTAAACAAGCGAGTGAATTACAACTTGAAACATTCTTTTTTTGCGATTACTTCAGCTCAGCAGGTGGAGCTTTCAGCTTCCCACTCTGGGTAGTTCAGCATTCCGTGGAATAGATGTCAACAACTAAGTAAGTATCATCCTCACCACTATCATCGCGAATTGCAGTCTATCTGATAGACTCTTAGACATGGATGAAGAGGGGTTGAGGGTGAAACAAATCACGCCTTTTGGGCAAGAGATGTGAAAAGAATACTGGGACTGTGCAAGTTACTGTTGTCGACGAAGCTAATCCGAGGTTGATACTATCTTGTTAGGATAAGAAGGTTGAAGACTCACATTAACTTAGGTATGGGACCTTCAGACAGCCTAGAACCAGTGAGAAATGCCATAGCAAACTACGTCCTCAAAGACATGTTTGACTTTTTTTTGACTAGATGATGCCATTTAAACTTGCCAGGTGAAAATGTTCTCAGTATATATGGCGTCCTTTTTCACCAATTCCCCGTTGAAGGCGACCATAGACTGTCCACGCGAGTTCATCCGGTGGCTCAACATCGATATCTGTACCCACCAGGACCGATGGAGACAACTACTGCTGACGTGTACCAGAAACATTCAATACCAACGAAACGGAACGGTATACAGACAAAACGACGGGTTGCTCGTGGGTTGACTACTAAAATCGTTGCTCACGGATGTCTTCATCGATGGAATAGCGAGCAACCTTTTAACCGAATCCATCAATAGCTTTCTATCTTACTGTCGATACATAGGCAACATAAGTTGTATGGCAGATAATAGAGTGCACATCGGTAATATGTTGGTTCACCTCACCGCCAATCTATCGAGCTAGCACGTAACAACTTGTTGGCATGTTTCGATATCCAGACCACTATAGTGTCAGACGGGTCAACGCTGGGAGGGTGCATATAAAGGGGACTCAGGATGGACAATATATCCACTGCGTTAGTATTGTTACAATAAGTAAGAAAGGAAACTTCATCCGTTGTCTAATAGACAGAGTAATGCATATATTTACAGAAGATAGATTTTCACATGAGATGTCTTATCCTAAAAGTTTTCAATGCAGTGGATACCCTGAAACATTCATTTAGAAACGCATGGAACCACGGGGGTCAAAGCCAAGACCTGCTTCGCGGAAAAGCTTTCAATATATCTATTTACAGAAGAGTAGTAGTAGGGGGAGTTGAATGGTATAGGTAGAAATTCGTCACGTCTGGACTCACTCAGACAGCCGCCATACGCCCGGTAAAGCACTGTACGCGCGTTTCATCCTTTGTTGTCAATGAAAGGTGACATGATAGCGGGACGGAGCAACCATTCAGAAGCTGCCCACTGTGGACAGCAGAGGCTGTCTCATTTCGGTTTCAAGTCATGACCTATGTGCGCAAAAGATATTCATTAAAAGTTTAGAAGGTGCTATACCACTATAGCTCCTTTGCAGCACCATTGATAGCGGTCATCTGCATTTAAAAAATGATTATGGAAGTCGAGACAAAACTAGGACTTATTGTTCAAAAAATTGATGTCGTTCATGAGGATCCAGTATCAAAACAGTCATACCGCTTGATATGCCCGGATATAATCACTTGCCCCCAATGATAATGGAACAAATGCTTCACAGAAACCAGACGACAGTTATCTGTCAGTGGAACCAAAAGCCGTCATACAATTATATCATCACTCCTTATAAATGGGTACAAGGGATGGATTGGTTCGTTACAAAGACGAGCGGCTGCAATGCAGCTTATACTGCGGAGGACGGCAACAGCAACTGTGGAACTCTCGTCTTCTATACTGACATAATCACATTCACGATACTCCTTACATATCGTGTGTGGGGTCAATCGTCTTCGTGACGCAGCTAACGTCAGACTGCGGGTGTCAGAGAGCAGCGATATGACTGACAGAACATTCAGACACATTAGTATAGGTATCCCTGTAGGAGAAGTAGGTTTTCACCATTTAGAGGTAAGTAGAGGTCACTTCAAATTTAAGAAAAATGCGGATTACACGGGTTGTTATCTGCTAAGTGGGGCTTCTGTGTCCTCGAAGTCAACTGCCGTGATCGCTGTTGTGAAAACAACACTATAACCAGAAGGACGGCTTCACACCACTAGACTAGTGGTTTCCATCAAGACCCCCAGCCAATGGCGAATTTGTTGACAGTATCACATCATGCTAATGAATCGCTGGTGGTGAGCGGCCCCAGACACCATCCGCCTGATCTTTACTAAAGCTTTTAATTGTGCCTGTATCACAGAACACAATCTCAAGATACCTCGCAAAACGAGTCTTAAGCACCATCTGCTACAGCAGGCGCGTATACAGCCTAGGCTGTCTGAATCCTCTGGGGTAGGTGCGGTACTCCTAGCCTGTCTTGTCCAAGTGGCTATAACAAACACGCTACGCTTTGGGAGCAAACTTGCGAAAAGCGTAAGTGGTCATCGCACAAGGCGGGCATGAGATAAGCTTTGGCTTAGAGCTTGCTTCGAAATTATGAAAGTCGTGCAAATCCAGGGTGTGTTCGTTAAATATCTTTGGACCGAAACGATGCAGTTGTCTTGTGGAAAAAGCCCAAGTGATTCTAAATCTTGTTTTGCTAAGCGATCTGTCAACCTCATTAATCATGCGCCACCTACTGACAGACTAGCACTGTGCGGGCCCCTCGCGTTCATTGGGAGATCTACGCGGCCATAAGCATTCCAATTCCACAATACGCCGAATTGACCGCAATCAAACAAGTTGACCAGTCGACGTGTTCAAAAGGCCGCACTCATCACAGTGGCTCTGTTGTGGTAGCAGGTTGTCAAACGGTAAACTGACATGTCTGGGCGCCCATCGGCAAATTTATAGCCCAGATCGTATCACCTTTACACAGTACTATAGACGTGCTGGGAGGTTTGTGGTACGCGGTTGAAAACGCGCAGGGAAGATTTCCCAGGGAGAAATCCTGCGGAAGTTTCGTGTTATCGTTTTGCTAAGAAACGTATTGCGAACTTGTTGCTTCGTTTCAAACAATATTAGTCGATTTTATTGAACCCTGTACGTAAACCTGTGGTGTGCAGTGATCCAATTCTTATGGTGAATGCAACGCAGGATCCATGCTGTGTGCGCACACTAGAATGCATAATTGCGGGTTCGAACGACAGATTTCCGGCTGCTCAAAACACCGCTAACAATTCCGTGTTCGATGGTACCTGGTCACTTATGTCAGCAGTCGACACTCAGCCGCCAAATTGACTAATGTCATCATCATTATTATACACGTCAGCTAGAGGTGGGGAACACCTCACCTATTGTGCCGCAACGCATAAAGGAAAATAAATACAACAGTTGCATGCCAGTTGAGCTACCGGCAACGAATAGGCATCGTCCCGGTAAGCTACCAGCCGGCTACTAGGCAAAAAGAAAAATATTATGTTTTACGGAACGAAATGAGATCGTGCTTGAAGAGGGAGGCTAAAAGGGATGGGGAGGGACAAAAAACTCACAGCAGGAACGCCACTGAAGTAGGCTCCTTGCCATATCAGCAAATGTATCCAGCCAAAAGTGTTCACCGTGTTTCGGACCCCAACCAGGGAGCCGTGACGCTCTAACCAAAGCCCGCTCCGAGGTGAAGGCCTTCATTCTTCTCGACCAAGTCAGTGTTTGGCCAATCCTTCTCTTCTTCCATCCACCTCCCCGACGCGCAAACAACGCATGTCGTGGAAGTCGGTGGGCTGGCATGTGCAACACGTGGCCCAGCCATCGGAGCATGGTGCGTGAAATGACGGTGCTGAGCCGTTCATTTTCTTTTCATGTGTCGTAAACAAGGCGTCGAACACGCTCGTTACTCACTCGGTGTTCCCACCAGATGTGAGCCAAACTGAGAAGGCACCGATGGTCGAACGTAACTAGCCTCTTCATGTCCGCCGATCTTAGGGGCTAGGTTTCGGAACCGTACATTAGGGTAGAAAGTACCGCTGCATTGTACATCTGCCCTTCAGGGTGAGAGTAATGTCGCGCCGCCGCCGCAGGTGGCGATGGTTAGCAAAACCACTTCGAGCTTTTGCTATACCATTCGTGATCTCAACTTAAATCCCACGGGCGCCGATCCTACTACCCAAATAGCTGAATTTTTGTACGACTTCTAGCTGATCCCTACCAAGGGTCAGCGCAGGAGGCGATCCCTGCCAATCTTGGAGGAACGCTTTGCACTTCGATGGTGCAAAGCGAAGTCCGAAGCGGCTGACATCCAGTGTTAATCTGTTCAGCGCGGCTTGGCACGTCTGGGAGCTGTCACAGATGAGGGCAATGTTGTCTGCATACGCCAAGTCAATAAGTCGTTCTCCTGGGAGTAGCTCCACACTTTCCAAGTCATGTCCTGTGAACGCAATCTCCATAACGTCGTCAATAGCGAAGTTGAAGAGGAAAGGTGACAGCGGGCATCCTTGTCTCACACCACTGGAGATATTGTAGGGTGGCGAAAGCTTGCCATAAGCCCTCACTCTGTCCGTGATACGCTTGTGTAATGCTTGGATAATATTTACATATTTCTCAGACACACTTTTCCTGAGTAGACAATTCCAAAGGGCACATGGATCAACCGCATCGAAGGCACCTTTGATGTCGAGGAACATGATTATGTTGGGCTGCCAATATATGTGACGGTGCTCCAACAACTGACGCAAGATCAAGACGTGGTCGATGCAGCCACGACCCCGAGGAAACCCGGCTTGCTCCTCACGAATCTGGCTTTCACGAGCGCCAGTCAGTCTGTAAATAATTATGGAGGTGATGGAGATCAGTCTGATTCCTCTGTGACTGCCGCATTCCGAACGCGAGCCTCCTTTGAAGAGGGGAACAATTACGGAGCGGCTCCAGTCGGCTGGGACAGTCTCCTGATCCCACAGTTCCACTAGTACTTCATGTAAAGCATCAACAAGAGTAGAGCCTCCGAATTTGAAGAGGGCTGGAGGAAGATCATCTGGTCCCGCGGCTTTATTCAACTTCAACAGTCCGATCTCAGGTTCGACTTCTGAGCGAGAGGGTGGATGCAAAGGGACAGCCCACGGAGCAGGGCGATCACTGGCCGACGAAGCATCGAACAATTCTAGCCGATTAAATTGCATTTCAAATTGCTCAGCCCAAGGCTGAAAACGTTTTGAGAAATTGTGGATAGGTTGTCCACTCTCGTCACGTATAGTTTCACAAATACCAGGTCTCCTGCTGCCCGTTTCCCGTATCAGACGAAATAACTTACGATGATTTCCAAAGGCAACGGCCACTTCCATCTCTGACGCACGATGAGACCACCAAGATTCGCGGTCTCTCTTCAGGCTAGCACGGAGTCTTGCCCAGAGCTCTTTGCGAGATTCATTGTGTTCGCTTTCAGCCGGGATATGCCGCGAGCGTCGACGAGTTCCAGAGACCGCAAAATAAGTTCCAGAGACGGCGAATATCCCAGTAAATGAAGCAGTCAGCCGGAATTCACCATCACATCGAAACCATGTGGTGGTTGTTTCAATGCATTGCCTTCCACCGGGTTCCCCCGTCCAGTTACCCCATTGTTGCTCTTGACCTTTGATATCTTGAAAAGTGACAAACATGGGCAACCTGAAGAACCGTCTTCATGCATGTCGAGCTACGCTTAATTGGAACAAGCCAGATATATTCTGAATGGTGGTTCGTGATAAATCAATGGCACTAGACCATGTGAACAGGTTTTATGAATGTGCGTTTTTCTGTTGTGAAACACCAAAGCCGATCAAAAGCATTGTAATAGGCCAGTTTGTAGCAAACACATACTGTAGAAAATTTAGTGAAATTCTGCTCGATACCCTAGCCCTAATGCTAACTTTCTTACTAGCGATGGATGTACATCGTCCCGTGTAGATCGGAAGCAGTTTATATAGGTTGAACATGGTGCGGGGCTTCCAAAGAATTTAACTCTGTGTCCACGTGCTAGGCTCCAGCGCGAGTCGAAATTTTCAACTGATGATAATATGATAATATTGTTCGGGATGAGAGCGTTTACCCCAATCGTGAATATATGAAGTCCGGCGCGGCGCAATCGGAGTAACCTGATCATGGAGCATTAAGAACCTGCTGCGCAATTAATTCATAGGATAAAATCCATGTGTTAACCTGTGTTGTATATCAATAAAGGTTTCATACAATTTTGTGAACCAAGCAAGTTTACTGTTACTGGGTTACTTATTTGCATAATCAGTCTTTAACTGGCCTCAAACCTATCCTAAGATTATGGAGTTGTTGCCGCTTCTTTCAACAGATGTGGCTAGGAGAAGAGATTTCAATATCGCAACGGTTGGCGGACTCTGCAAAGAAAAAAGTGAGTTTTACAAACTAATTCGGTTTTATAGCTATCCTACCTGAATTAGGGCCACCAAAAATATGAAACTCCAAGGAAGGTTCAATTGACTGTCCCTAGAATAGACTTACCCGATAGGTAAACATAGTATGCTTGGCCTTGATAGATGCAATGGAACTCGTTATGAACTAGCGGATTCGGCGATTTGATTTTGCTCTCTAAATTAATGCAAACTACGGTTCAGGTTTCAGCCACGATCTCAATGCTGATCGCTCGCCGATCTAGAGGTATTTTTATTGCTGCTGGCCTTCGAACAGCATTAGTGATTTTGTGTTGTTTATCCGGAATCCAAGTGGTCGTCGACTGGGATAGGTTCGGCAGACCTCCGTCTAATCCTGGTGTTCATCCTCATTTGGCATTCTTGCAGTGTACAGTTAAAACTCTTGCAATGTCAGCTGCTTCAGTGAAAGCCCTTCTAGCAGTCCTCACCTTATTTTTGTCTCTGTTAATTCAAAACCGTCATCCCTTAAATTTCAACAGAACATTTACCTGACGAACAAAGAGCTCATGCTCCCCACACACGTTGAACATCTGTATGTGAGGACACGGGACGCAGATTGGAAGCGACGATATTGCATGCTGCGTAATTCTGGATTATACATCAGCAAGCGTAATTCAAAAGACGTAAGTGAGGGATTGTTGCATCTAACAACTTCAGATACGGTCCCAGTAAGAAAATTGCTCTACTTTCCAAGAAATTTGCTCGAGACTGTAGAGGACCGGAAGCCCCTCGCAGTATCCTTAGCCCATGTGCTGCGACTGGTGATGGTTACGGAGCAGTACCGGGGCATATCGGCATACAACTAATGCATTTGTAGGTTTCGGCTAACATCTCAGGGTTCGCTGGTTTGATACCAGCTAGGCCTGCCTGTTAATGACTGTTATTGCTTGTAAACTGTAGCAGATTTTCGGGGTTTTTCGCTTTATTATCTAGAGCCAAGAATCTGGCTGCTGTTAACTGGTATTATCTTAGAAGCAATGGTGCGATACTTGTTTGGGAAACCGAGCTGACTAAATGTGGCAATGCTAACATGGGCTAGAAGCATCCCAAGCGACATCAGCCGAATGCGAAGATAAATGTCTAACTAATTGTGTTCGCTTTCAGCTGACGTTAGTTCTTAGACGAAAAGCATTAAAACGCTTCCCATTCAAACCCTAAGATGCACTAGATTTCATGCGCCCTTCATTCACACAATAGGCTGAATTCGAAGAACCGGCAAACTATTTAATTAGTTGGAGCGACGATGTGGATCATCGGACTGCAATCGCATTTCGTAGTTTTTGCGGTCGTAGTGTTTATGTTGCCTTTAACTGTTGCCTTCTTAAGCAGCATGCAAAGCATAAACACAGAACAAAATCATATGTTAGTCCATAAATGACACTTGTCATTATGACATCAACTTAGCCGTAACATATTTGCTGGTTGCTCTGAAGAGACACAAACAACAAGTGACTTCGCGTCAGCCAAAAGGATATTACATAGTTTCTTAACTGAAAGCCGATTTATAATGACAGCCGGATGAATTAAGCATTTTGTCTGTTTCCGGAAACCAACAGTGATGGGACACTAAAATTCATGATTTCTGTCCTATAAGCTACAAACGAATGTTGATCCGTAGTATTCCTATGTGGGATCACTAAAGTCAGTCTGGAGGAGCAATCTACCGTAAGCTACAGCGCATCACATTAGTTGTATGCAAAGATGGATGCTCGGAGCGATCCACGGTATGTTATGCGACAAAAGCAGTGAAGCAGCAACACAATGCCCTTCTGCAGCTGGTTTTTGCCTGATTAGAAATTTAGTACAAATCAGTAGGATGGAAGATTCAACTGACAGCTTCCCATAACTCACTCATTAGGAAGCGATAATCCTATTTAAAAATGGCGTTATTGTAACATACCAGGGTCCCATTACGCAGACTTAGGGTGGACAGACCATACTCTCAAGTAAACGCCCAAAGCAATACTTTTCATCGTTCTTGCCGTAGGATTTATTTTGTTCCTGTGTGAGATGTCTACAAGGATTTTAAAGTATATCGAATACAACTTGACTGCAGGTGATCCCAAACTACGCCATTTTAAATGCTGAGCACATGCCAAACTGCGCCGAGACATGAGGTTACTGCGGTTGTCTATAATAATCAATAAGGGGAGCCCTGTTGGCGTGGTTCAGGTTGGTGAGTCTTCAACAACTATGGCTGCAACTTAACGTATGCAAGCGAATAGGAACTGGGAATAGTAGTTCTTGGTTTTGTTATTTCTGGTACTTGAAGCCCTCTAAATAGAGCGCAGGCCGGGGTCATTTCATCCGTGACCACTTTAATTTCCTCAATGAAGTCGCATGTTGGCTGTGCATTTCATCATCCATGGATTATAGTTGTGCAGAGGAAGAGAAAAGGAGAAATAAGTAGTACCAGTTCTTCGAGTTTGAAACAGCCCATAGAAGAGGAATAGTTTAGACCCAGTGTTGACCTACAACACTGGATTAACTGCACCGCAAGTGAGTATTGGCCATTTCAAGCGTATGGTCAGAGATATCAGTCCTTCGAGTTTAGAATAAAATATGAGTAACGTTAGCTGATGGATGGTCGTACAGCACCAGAAAGGATACATGCCTCAATTTGATACGCGTTTGCCTACAAACCTCATGCACAACACCTTGAAATTACGAATTGCAGTGACGTAAGAAGTAGCTTGTAACTATTTAAAGAGAGCGGCTGTGAAACTACTCATAAATCTCGTATTCCCTTTACTGAAGGCAGCTAGGACGCGTTTCATAGTTATATGTCTGGACACAGTCAGGTCATAAAGATCATCACCAGATTGTGGCTGCACTCGAAGCTATATTTCCACAATGCATGCCAGTAAACACACTGCAACGTCTGAAATCACAAGAACGAGCTTGAATTATTTGCAAATAGTAGGAGAATTTATTGGGTTTTGTGAAGGTTCGTCGCAGTTCGACTCGGAAAAGCGCCAGATAGCCATTCCATCCTGTTGGGACTTGTCAGTAGCGCGTACCTGCCGAATCCTGCTACATTCGAACCCACGCCCTTACTTTTCGCAAGCCCGTGACGTATGCCAATGAGCCATAAACAACGGCAGCGGACCACCATTGCTGATATCTAACTGCGATGTAGCGCGGCTCATCATATTGATTAAATATTACCACCTGTGAATCGGCAGTGAGGTGCATTCTTCTCATAATCAGGTCAACATGTCACCGACCGTACGCACTGAGTATCTACTAACCATCGGTAAATGGGTGCACTCCATGATGGTAAAGAATAAGAAATATATTGTACTGCAATTAACAGTATGGTTAGACGTGAAGGAACCGCATTCGAGTGTTATCAAATGCAATCAGCTAATGCGTTCCATGTACTGGTTTCAAGAGTGACGTGGAATACTATCTCACAAAAGAGCCATCCAACATTTTTGGTAGTACCGGACTCCGCAATTTAACTTTAAAGGGATTCGTCCACATCCATCTAACTATTCCTTAATGTTTAATTAAAGTGACGATTTCCTTAATGCTATATTACCGCAATAATGTCTGCTTTCAAATTTACCCCAGCCGATTAAATTTGGTATATATAAGTATAAACTTGGGCTTCAATCAAAAGCAAAGCTACTAGTAAAATTATGTTAAAATAAGATGACAACTGGTGACGTATGCTCTTATTATGTTCACCAGATTCTGGTCACTGATTACAATGATATCGCTGTAGATATGTGATAGGATTAAATTTGTTGGCTGATACTGCAAGGGGAAAGGGCAACCTTCCAATGGAACAATAGGACAAGCGATTTCTGCCGAGGTAAGGGGGTAATTCACTTAGTACATGGAATTTATACAAAGTAGATCAACCGTGTGGGATATGCACTGCAGTACCTAACGCTTTTGCATGCTATTGTTCATGAAATAACTGACGGACTCCGTCCATGTGTTAGTGCGGCGGCTAGCCAGAGCGTAGGGCGATGGTACACTTGACTAAACAGTTGTACTCTTGCCTTGCTTTCGTCTCTCATTCTGTACACGGATCGGAATGATTATGTAGAGATGGAATTCTGTTACGGAATGCAAGTTGTACATCACTGGCTTCTGATACATGTTGTGTACATCGGCAGGAAACGGGTTTTCATAGTTGTTACTTTTGATTCCAGGCTTATGACAAGGGTCGAACCTGTGCCCACCTAGCTAGTGAGTACAGTAAACGCAACAAGTTTCAAGCTTTTTTCTTCTGAGCGGAGCCGTGGTATCCATAGAGATTAGTGGTTCAATAGACCGTTAATGACACCAGCATATCCGTTACAAATGTCATTTCAATCGACCAGTCAGTGATAAGGTGGAGGCACCAAGCGTATTAAAAGTGCACACAAAGCAACAGCAACCACATTTTGCCTTCCAGTTTGTGACTGCTATGAGGAAATTCGAAACTACATAGTTCCTGCACATAATATCGCATGTTATCACCACATCATTTATGGTAACGATGCAATATCTCACACTGGAGCTTGTCTCCTTTCAGCTTTCCTCCTACCGACGTCTTCTTGCGTTCAAACCGTGCTTGCAATTATACACAACCACTGGAGGATGGACAAAGTTGAAGGCCCCAACTCCCTTCGGATTTACCGTTAGGGTAAGCTGAGTGAAGAGTAGTTACTTAGCTGTGCGCTACGAACTAGTGTTAAGCGCTATTAGAAATGAATTACTGATTTTGAATGCTATCTAAACGGTTGAGATCAATCAATTTAGTAAACTCGACTGAGTATAAGACATTTGGATAGTAATAGGCGACACTGTTGTATAATGATCTATCTAGGAATACTAGATAAGGCTATAACGACTGTGGTAAACTTGTATGATATCTCCGACTACATACCAAGCTTTAACTAGTATGGATAATTATGTCGTCTTTCCCGTCGAAATAGTATTTTCACAAGTTAGGCTCTAGGAAAAATTTCTTGTAGTTGGGAAATCTGACTCAAGTATAATGCGATTTAAAACATGCCGGCTACTTACATTACGAACAGAACATCCGACACATCATGTAAAAGATCACCACAACAACTGGTTGCCAATGTATTCTACATGGTACTATCCGTGAAATACCTAATGCGATTGTAAAAAGTGATGAAGGAAATTCCTGTCTTCAGACAACTTCTATTAAGGACGTTATCAGAAGCTACACGAGATACGTCCATGTTTAACTTGTGTTTGCTTACCACTAATGCTAGTTAAATAAATCTGATGATGTAGTACAAAGCATTGGTTCAGAAACTGCCATGAAGTACTAAAGGTGTGCATGAAAAGGTTTGTTTGCCTCATATTTCTATGCTTGAAGCAAGACAACAATCAGTTAAGTTCAGACATGCACGTCGGCCTACGTGCATCTACTGCGTCTTAGATGTCCTCCACAAGTGTCCAAACATCGAGAATCTGTTGGGGACTTCCCGATGTACATAAACGTATATAAGGAATACGCCGGAAGGAAACTTGGGTAGGATAGTCGAAATTTGGACTGAATGCTTACGTAGTTGGCATCAATAAAATTACTGATAATGGCACACTAAGTGGTTTAACGTGACGGTCAATTTAAATTAAGCGTGCGCACACGTTTGTGTAGAGAATACATACCTGTAATCAAAAATTTTTTACCTAAAATAACCTATAACCCTGTGCCTCATAAATGGCTATAGAAAAAGGCATAATCCTTTGGAGTCCGGAATCCGATTTTAACTTGACTTTTCTCCTACCTTGGTAATTGCTTTCAAATCGTTATTTTGGGTGAGCACCACTCATCTCCACGCCCGATCACCAGCGGAGCCTTCCAAGGAACTGTATTTGGACCTTTGCTATTTCCCCTATATATTAATAATAATGGCACATCCATCAAAAATGACCATTTCTTTTAATTCACTGATGACATTAAGATTGCCTATAATCTCCGGGGTGATGCGATTGAGAACACACTACATTTAACTCAGGATTATCTACACGCCCTTTTGGAATGATCTTACCTGTAATGGATAAAATTCTCAGTTGCAAACTCAGTCATTCCGATATGTGGTCACTCAATCCTCGAAGGCTCGATTAATTTAATAACACAATTATGTCCATACGGCTGTCTACCCGTGAACTCGGAATCCGATATTGCTCCAAGTTGTGCTTTTCTATACAAGTCAAATACCAAGTAGCCAATGCCAGGCAATCCGTGGCTAGACTCGAATTATTCAGATCCCACGCTTGTATACTTAACTACTACAATTTCATCTATGGTTGCATGTGAAACATAGACAAGAAAACTATGGAAAATTTTCAGAGATCATTCAAAAATGTTTGTCCTGTAGTACGTATGCTTTAAACTACCGCGAACGTTACAAGCAACTTCGCATCGAGCCCGACTGGCTGCGAGGTGTGAAGAAAACTCGATATTCCTTTACAACCTGTTACAGCGGAAAACGTACTCCTGTCTACCTAATTTAGAGATGAAACGTGCTGCATATCAAAAAATCCTCATGAGCAAATATATGTTACTTGTACCAAGAGCATGAACAATCATAAGCTCTAAGTTTCTTCTCATCAGATACGCCGTTTTATGGAACAGTATGTGAACCGCAATAAAGTCATGTAAAAACCTGATTATTCCACACCAAAATCGACTCTTTCTTTGCTCTAGGAGTGGCACTATCCATGTTCTTATCCGACAAATCATTGGATGAATTATCCCAGGATGGAACAAAATATCTAAAAAGCTAAGAACTCTCGTCAGTATACCCTCAAACAAGAGCATACTCATTTTTGTACGTGCGGAGCTGTTCCTATTTTAGGAACAGTTTCGCACATATTAGAGTAACATATATATATATATATATATAAACCAAAAATTGTTTTTTTTTGCAGCCTTATACAGGTGATGAATCGAATATCGTGCACTTTTGTGCTTCGACAGAAGCTTCAATGAGGATCTGGTATTGCCTTTTGAGGATAGCACTCGTAAGTCATTTTGAAATGTTGTCTTCACCCCCACAAAACGAAAATAACTCCCTCTCAAGCACGAATGGGTTTTCAACATTGGCTTGAAAACAAACGAACCGCACACTGGCTTTTAACTGTTCCTCTCCTCCGTGCGTCACTTCACCTGCTAAAGGTGAGCCCATGTTGCAAACCGCCACCTATATCCTTGGAGATCCATTCACATGAAATTTCATCACGAACAATAAGGTCTTCCTCATGCACTAGTCTATACCTCGTTAATCCTGTTAAATAATATCACCGTAATCGCAAAACCCACACCGTCGATAGATTCAACTGTTTGGAGAATCTGATGCAACCTTCTGCCACTGTATGATCGGGTAACTTCACGCGGCATAAACAGCGTTAAATGCCACTAACCAACTAACTGAGTGAATAAAATATTCAAACGGGTTTACAGAAAGCAAGAACGTAGGAATCAAGACCCCACAGAGCTGTGTACTTACTGGCGGACGATGGGTAGTATGTAACGCGTCTAAAAGCACAAACACGTCCATGCAACTGGACTCTGTTCTTTTGAGAGTATCGAACCTCTCTTAGGTAAATCTGACAAAGGACTTTTCCATTGTCCACTATGAACGGCCTGTAGAATGTTATTCGACCTGATCTCAAACCTCGAAGGAATATGTTAGAAACATTTTTGTGAAACGAAGGAGACTGCTGCGGATTTGACTCTTAAGTAGACATCAAAAATGTCTCAGAAAATAAGCGCATAGGGCCCTCTGTGACCCATAAGCTAAGTGACCACATCAAAAATTAGACTGATGTTATAATCGGCTGGATAGTAACGGCTAAATTTCATCAGTTGTATTGCATCATTCGCGCCACATTACATTTGAAAATTTTGCTCGCCTGACTGAGGACACGACGATTTTACACGCTCTCACTTGACCAAGTCCACTCAACTTGGTGTCCACTGTGATGCATTCATTGTGTCTTGGTCTCTGCAGACTGGGTTAGAACTGTTACACAACTACAATAACCGCGTCAAGGAGTCACTCGCTGGACAGTCTGATGGTCCGTTCCGGTGTGTCCCATCGATCGGTTGCGGTGACGACCGGACTGAGTTCAACCTGCAAGCGCATTCCTCCTCCTTTCAACCGAAAGCACGATCTGCATCACTGAACAGGTTCCAATCGCTACCTTACGACGTACCGGACCGTATCTGTAGCTGCACAGACAATCATTCGTTAGGGTGGAGCACGACAGGTAGTAGCGTGGAGATCGGTTGCGTGACCGGCCGTCTGGACGTTCGACTGTGTAGCCGTAGCGCAGATGAAGTCGTCAAATCGGAAAAGCATCGCAACAGCTCAATGTGTGTCAGTAGTTTGAGCAGTCTCTTCGCCTGTTCACCGGGCTCAGCACGTATCACTGAAGTTAGTGGTGCAAAAGACAGAGTGAGTTACGAAGCAGTCCACAAAAAGTCACTTAAGCGCCGAATTTTCCGTACGGGACCAGCAGAAAGACGTTGTCATCGGTCAGTTGGAAATATCAGTGCTCCGTTTGACGTCGGTCTTCCAAGTTGGGTACGAGAACGGAGTGGACAACCGGTTGCAACTCAACCTATGGAAACTGTAATGTGACGAATAGCAACATTCAACCAATATTTTTCTACTTTTCTTTCGATTGATCTGTAAATAAGGAACAGCAACTCTTTTCAGATTCCTACATTGTACAACTGCGCTTATATGGGTAAGATTTGTTATGTTAAAGGCAGAAGAAATCCGTCCCGCTTCCCTGTGCATAGACTCACTCGACTGAGACAATATTGCTTGGAACTGAATTGACGGTGATTCCTATTTTACGCTTTTCTTGAGCTAATTCAGAGTATCCTCAATTGTTTGCAAGCCCTTTTTGACCGACCACAAAAGCATTCCTCAAGTTCTTTTTCATTGTTCCCTTCTTCCTTCTGATCGATCGAAATAGCGTTAAGGAGGCCGGCATCAAACTTATTATCAAGTAAGATTCCATTTCCTTCCCAGCAATATAACCAACGTTTGGACTGAGCTCGTTTGCGTGTGCACCCAAATAACCTGAGTAAACACATGGGGAAGACCGTACAATGTTGCTAGGTCAGTTGACTTTCCGATATCGCCTAACGAATGAAATCTACCGAAGTCGTGTTCACAGCGCACTGAGTGAGCTTGAGAATATCTCGACGCAAGCTATTTCGTAAGGATCATGAGTTTTGCTTTCTCTCCTACAGAATACATGTCGATGTGTAGTTCGTTCTTTGGACAAGCTGAACAGCATGAAGTCACTCACTCGCAGGTAAATCAATTCGTTTACTTTATCTCCCAAATACCACTACACAAACATGAGTCGGCTGTTCGGTATGGTTGTCAAAAGTGCTATACATAAAGGGTTCCGGGACGGAATCCGCTAGACTGTGCTCCTGCTTGTTTCTGGTTTGAATGGCTAGCTTTCAGACACAAGTGAAAGTTGTAAAAATACTCGAAACTGAAAGCCTAGATAGACACTCAGAACTACCCAGGTAAGTGGAGAAAGGAACTATAGGTATCGGGCGACAATAATATGAGAAGCAGTATTGCATTCTCCCACACGATGCGCCGGCATACCGCTTTCAGTCACCGGTTGGCTTTGGGGTAAAGCAATAATGTGCAGAAAGGCCGTCGCCAAACTCCGCTGAGGCGACAAACTGAAGCACATTACATCCGTGTGCGTGCGGTAGACTAATGGGGTATTTAACCACCAGTACCATAAGATTCGCATGTTTGGTAACTACGTAGGGTTGTTTGTATACATAGCAAGGGGATTTATTCCACTGTTACTCATTAACCGTTTACGGTCGTGCGAACAAATATATGGCCTGGCAAACTTCTAGTGTGGCATACGTCGAAGTTAACTAATGACACCTTAAGTAAAGGAATGTCAAGAATCAAACAAAAAGTCTGAAGAATATCACCATAGGTTAAATTGCCGGTTACGCATCAACTAGTGATGAGGAAAAGATGGTGTTCCCTCTGTTCATCATGACCACAAAACAGAATATACCGATTTCAATTTGCCCATGACTAATAGCATATTTTCGCAACAAACGTTGAGCTTAACAGACGGAATTTCTACTAACAACACGCTCATCGCTATCATAAATACATTACAAGCTACTAGCTACGATTTCACTATGGCAGCCAGCCGGGTAAACATGACAACCTCTGGGAAGCGGGTTCTCAGTGAGAATGTAATGAAACCGTAGAAGAGGCCAAATGGTTATTTCGCTTTCCAATAGAATGAATTAACGTGAGAGCGAAGTGCCCAGCGAATATTTCCTTTCGGTAACACTCATAAGATTCAAAAGTTTACGTGATATGGATAATGTTACGACAGAGAGTATGAGGCCAATCGTATCACCTAACTAACCCACGGTCTGGGCAGTTAAAATGCAGGACAGTGGGCGGAATGAGTATACTGAATAACCGTGGTTCTACAATAGCAGTAATAAACAAAAAAAAGAATACAATTAACTCACGAATAGGTAATGCGACTCGCTAATTCGGGCAGCAATTATTCCACGTCAGCAGTTAAGTCTGCGCAAATGGCGAATAGTCCGTAAAATTGACACAGTAAAACAAATTACAACCGATGAGACGCAAACCGTAAGCTCACAACAATTAAGCAAAAAAAGATAATAAATGCAAAAATTGCAGGGTTTTATCAGTTTGTTAAAGCCGAACATTTGTGCATGAACAGGTAAACTCGAGTCACACCGTCCAACGGGAAAAATATAAAGAAATTGAACTACTGGTAAATGTGCAGTAGTATAGTTCAGAATCGAGAATTTAGAATTCCCGCTCCCCAGCGTCTTTGGCCTCCTCGCTGAATTCTTCGTCCAGTCTCCTCTAATAGACACACTTGTCGTACGTCTCTCCGTAATGTCCCTTTGTTTATACGTATCAGAACTTCCCGGACCAGTCCATCGCGCCCAGCCTTTGCTTCTTCTATTATGCCCTTTGGTCACAGACCTCTTGGCGTGCGTACATCGGCGATTAGAACAAGATCACCTCTCCGTAAACTGCGCCTCTTTGTGTGACACTTTTGACGAAACTGCAAAATCAGCAAATAACAAGTTAACCACCTTTTCCAAAATTCATCGGACAGCTGCTGCACTTGGCGCCATTGTCTCGTCAGCCTGTGGGGAATTCGTGCCTGCTCTGGGTCCAGTACCCTGTCTGCTGTTAAGGTCAATAATTGGCTGGGCGATATAGCACCGAACTCATCGGGGTGACCGGGATTGGGTACCAAGGGTCGCTGGTTAAGTATTCTTTCCATCTCCACTAAGGTTGTCTGCAGAATTTCATCGTTAACAAGCCGATTACCGAGTATCACTCTAAGTATCGTCCGTATTGAACGGATCAGACGTTCCCACGCTCCTCCACGATGACTCGCATAGGGCGGATTGAATATCCATTCGCAGTTCCTGTCGTTCAACATTCGGCTCAATTTATCTTGATTCCATGATCGTATTATACCTCTCAGTTCACCCTCAGCTCCACGGAAGTTCTGTCCATTGTCACTGTACACTCTCAGCGGTACGCCACGTCGCGAGACAAATCTTGAGAAGGCGCACAAGAAAGAATCTGTATCCATAGCGTGCGTTATTTCTGTGTGTACCGCTCTTACTGAGAGGCAAGTAAATATACAACCGTACCGTTTCCCCGTTGTTCGTTTTTCCTTCACCAGTAGTGGTCCAAAATAGTCAACCCCAACAACCGTAAATGCCGGTTGGTATGCCATACAACGATCCTCTATGAGAGGGGCCATCTGTTGTTCACAAGGCTGAGCCTTCCATATCATGCAGCGTGCACATGCCTTCAGGACCTTGCGGACTGCTGAAACATCATGCAAAATCCAATAGCGCTGACGCAGTTCAGAAAGGACGTGAGACACTCCGACGTGACCGTTTCTCTCGTGGCAATCTAAGATAATTAGTCTAGTCACGTAATGTTGGGAAGGTAGCAGGACAGGATGCCTAGCGTCATACGGCAATGGTGCCCAATTCAGTCTGCCACCAACTCGTAGGATGCCGTTAATCAAAAATGGGCAGAATCCCTTCAACGAACAATTTGAACGTTTCAAACATCTAACTGCTTCTTTCTGTCGATTCGCTCTCAGTACTTTAATCTCTTCCGCGAACGAGATCTGTTGCACGTTTCTCACTATCTCCACTTCGGCCTCGTTTAGTTCAGATAACGTCAAACGACCATCAGTCGGGTTATGCAGACCTCTTCCGCATCTTTTCAGCAAGTACCGTTTAAATCTGAGTAATGTGGCTACACATCGTTTGAGCTTGACCCAGCTACTACAGCTTGCGAACCTGTCTAACCAAGTGTTCGTTAATGTTGCACTATGGACTGTAACATGCTCCTTCTTCAGCCACTCATTCGGGATTTCGCTTAAACTTTCCGGAAGTTTGGGCTAATGGACTTCTTTGAGGCGTAAGAAATAGGCTCCTTCAAGCCATTTCCCCATTTGAACTCCATCACACACCCGTAATCCGCGAGAGGCTATGTCGGCTGGATTCGCAGATGTTTCGACGTATCTCCACTGCTTCGGGTCGGAAAATTGATGTATCTCGGACAGTCTGTTCGCGATGAACGTTGTAAATCTCTTGGTCGTGCACCGGATCAACTGCAGCACCACCATCGAGTCAGTCCAAAATATCGGAGGTTTGTCTAGCTGCAACTCCTCAACTGCTTGAATGGCTAACCGGACGGCAAGGACCGCGGCGGTTAATTCTAGACGCGGTATTGTAACTGCTCTTATCGGCGATACACGCGACTTTCCCATAATGAGAGTAGACCAAATCTGATTATTTCGGCCAACAATCCTGACGTAAACTGCCGCTCCGTATCCATGTTCTGAAGCGTCTGAGAAACAATGCAGCTGCATGTCGTCGTCGGTGAATGGCTTCGGTCTAACACACCGAGGAATCCTCAGTCGCTCTAGTAGCTGGGTGTCCCGCAGGAAGCAATAGCATTCCTCCCGTTCCGGTCCGCCTACCTGTATATCCCAAGCAAGTCCTCTTCGTACGAAGGATTGCAACAGCTGCTTGGCACGCAACAGTACCGGTGCTATCAGACCTAGTGGGTCATAAATCGCGGCGATGAAAGACAGAATCGATCTTCGAGTGCAATCCCCTTCGAACTTTCTCAGGCTAAATGTTATGCAATCGTCTGACAAGTGCCATTTTACTCCCAACGTAGGTTGTACATTCTCGGACTGTAAAGTCAACTGGACTGATTCATTGGCAGACGCACTCGTCATCATTTGTTGCAGAATTTGATCATCGTTACACTTCCATTTCCGTAAGTGAAACCCACCCTTGGATGCAAGCGCTTCAAATTGTGTAATGAGGAGACTAGCTTCTTCCCGGCTACCACAGCTAAACAGGCAACCGTCGACATAGAAACATCGCTGCATCAGGTTCAGCGTCGACTCTGGATACTCAGTTCTGCAATCTTCTATGGTCCTTCTGAGTGCGAATGACGCGCAGCATGGCTAGGAGGTTGCACCGAAGGGATGGACCGTCATGCGGAACGCTTTCGGTGATTCGTGCAATCGG